GGGGCTCATATTCATATATTCGTGTTCACAGACCATAAAAACAATCGATTTCAAAAGAAATTAATAACGCAGAATACGAATATATGAATATGAGCCCCCCCAATTATCGAGCTTGCTGTACGGCACTGCGAATACGAGAAGGTCTGAGAACCAAGGATTATAACTCGTTTTCATTCAGTCCTAGCTTGTCATAAATATACATTTTGTCTTATTTAGCTACACAGTTCATGGCGAATGGACATTGTTAGGGACCAGCGCTCTCGAACAATCTGTGAAATATTCGTACAGCAATGAAGAATACTCTACAGTGCATTATCATTTTGATCTACGAAGGCAAACATTGTATTACATGATGAACTTTATTGTGCCATGTGTATTGATTGCTGTTCTCACTGTACCTGTGCTATTGTTACCGCCAGAATCACAAGAAAGACAATCTTATGGCGTCACAGTTCTTCTATCTTTCACAATCCTCATTATGATGCTTCAGGTACGAGAACGAGTATTAGAAAGCTTAGAACAATTAAAGTTAAGGCCGTCATGTTGTATAGAACTGCTTCGTTAAAAAATCCCTTGTATTTTTGCACTGGGATAGTTCAATATCATTTATTAAAGAAGGTGGAAGGGGTTATTCCAGAAAACATCCATACCACCCCCACAGAGGAAATAAGAAGTTAACCACCCTACCCCCTTCGGATGTCCTAATACACTTACTAGTATCAGAAACAAATTTTTCTCCCCAGAAATTTCCTCCGTGGGGGGAGTATGGATCTTTTCTGGAAAGACCCAAGTTAATGCAGCGCTAATTTAATGGGGGTCAGTTGTGTACTTCAGTTTATCCAGAGCTTGAAGGTGATGTACAAAGATTACAAGCATCTGAATTGCTGTAACGCATATTTGTGAACAACGTTGAAATCAGCTTTTATTGTATATGGGCTACGTTGCAGAATTTCTGTTGCTTGCATCAAACACGCAATCACCACTGACGTCACGCGTTATTTTCATTTTAGGAAAAGGTACCGGCTACATCTAAAGTTTATCCAATGATTGCTGTCTATTATGCATGTACTATTGTGCAAGTATCACTTGCAATGGGGATGTCAACAGTCATGTTGTGTTTTTATCACAAGAGACCATTCACAACACCTATTCCGAAATGGGTCAAGGTAAGTCCGGATTAATAGGATACAACTACCTGAATTATACAAGGAGAACGTCGACGTTTCGAACGACAGCCCTTCGTCGGGAAGTTAGTTTGGATAGGGACATATGTAAGCACCTGAAAAATACAAGGAGAGCTTCAAGGCCCTTTGTCGGGAACTTAGTAGCTTAGAGCGAAGGGCCTAACGTCGAAGTTCTCCTTGTATTTTTCAGGTAGTTGTATTATTGGCACTACCTACACTGGCACAGACTGGTCAAGACAAGTCTCACGTTCATTATGACAGGATGAAGCTAGAAGTGGCGAGGTTGCTTCAGGAAATGTGTTACTGTCAGTGATCTTTCAAAAGTTGCACACTACCATCACTGTTTCCAAAAGTAACATCGCTAATAAAACCAACGCGTACGGTCCTGCACGCGTTAAACGTTTTTTGAAATGTGCCAAACCTAATCCGATGACGACCTCTTTCACTGATTACAAACGAATTCAGTGTACGCTTTACATCAATGTAACAATTGCATGAAAATGACTTGACATAGCAGAGTGATGCTTAACTACTGTTCAAATTTTGCAACTTGGTCATGCTACATAGTTATATATGCAAAAAGTAACGCAGCGCGAACATGCCAGTACTGAGAAGTACTCAAGCGGTACTGAGAAGCTGCTACTTCTAATCCTATTTATTGTCTGTAGGTCATAATTCTCAATTGGTGTGCCAAACTGGTTCGCATGCATGATTCCGTGGACAAAATAAAAACAAAACTTTACGGTACAGCTTGGAAACAAGGTTGGTATTTAATATGTTATATGGAAAAAATAATTACTGTCTGATATTTTACCAAATAGCTCGAGTGGAGGAATGGCCTCCGAAATTACCTAAAGCTGGATTTCCACTTGCAATTATGAGCGGTCAAGTAGAACTGATTTATTCGCTGTACGGATACTCGTGACCAATATTATAAAAAAAGGAGACCTTTAGAAATCAACCATATTGTTAAAATTTGAATGCCTTTTCAATTGCACATATGCTGAACCGTAGTGCGTGAAATATTGATGGGGTGCATATATTAGAAAAAGGAGACCTTTAGAAATTGAAATAACGTTTAAACAAAAGATTGTCTGCTTCTGGAAACAATCTGCCATGCATACTGTACGTAGATCGCATGTTACGCACTCGTGGGCTTAGCAAAGTGCTCCAGGATTCAAATTATAACAATGGTTGATTTCTAAAGGTCTCCTTTTTCTAATACAGGGTGAGTAAAAAAAACTGATACCTTCGCGGCTAATTTGAATAACAAAGGTGTCAGTTTTTTTTACTCACCCTGTATATGCACCCATCAATATTTCACGCACTGCGGTTCAGCATATGTGCAATTGAAAAGGCATTCAAATTTTGACAATATGCTTGATTTCTTAAGGTCTCCTTTTTTTTATACACCCTGTAGTTTCGGCATTGATTGGAACAATTTTATTCGTAATTACATGACGCTAAAGACTGAAATATGCATTGTACAGAAAACAACATGACAGCTTGTTAATTATTTAGGAAGGCTTTCTTTTTGACGTTTTTGCATATAGTTGGAAACCTTGGTAACGTTTCTGAGAGGAATTTGAGATTCCAATTTGAGCTAAATTGCTTGAAAACAGTTCTCAATTTCAATTCATATGAATAACGCACGACTTTCGAAATGTAGCTAAGAGCTTTGTAAAAAGGTGCTGGGCCCCTTCCCTGCATCCGGCGCACCTGGATAAGTCTGTGTGGTTCTTTCTAACGAAATTAAATTTTACGATTAAACAGTTTATTCACTGATACTTTTCTTTCTTCTCGATCTCCCTACGTAGTTGCCATCCGTAAAACTCGTTCAGAAACGTGCGGTATGAAGGCGATCACAGAATATGTGTTTAACAAGCAAGAAGAGAGCATTCGGCAGGAAGAATGGCGTATTGCTGCATATATCGTCAATCGATTCTTTGCTTGGGTTTACCTCTTTACCATTCTCTTGACATTCGTTATTGTATTTTTTAACGCACCTCGCACTAAAGCTGGTACATTGTAAACATTTTTGGACATCTTTACTTCGTCCAGTACACCCGAGAAACTTTGCAAAGCAATTGATCTTTTGTTAACCTTGTGCTGTGCCATTGCACTGCAGAACCTGTGTCGATAAACAAGTACTGATCAAAGTATGTATAAATTCAAAGCTAGTTGCACGTACCGAGAAATATTTGCAATCATGGGCGTACCGGAAGGAAAAAATTAGGGGGGCGGAAAGAAAATTGCCCGACTTTTCGGGATTCTGCCCGACTAGTACCAAAAAATTTTTTCCGGAAAAATTATTTTGGTGACCCCCCCCGTCGCCAAAAAAATTTCGGTCAGTGTACCATTTTAGGGGTCAAAAAATTTTTCCGGACAACCAATATTTTTCGTAACATAACACAAATTTTCGAAAAATCGCAAAATTTGCCAAAAATTTGACTTCATTTTAGACAAAATTGGCAGAATTTGTCCCATTTTTTTTTATTGCAAACCAAAATTGCCCGACTGTTAATCGAATATTGCCCGACTGCCCAAAAAACTGGGGGGGCTACCGCCCCCCCCCGCCCGGTACGCCTATGTTTGCAATAATACTAACCGACATACAGTATATCCAATTCCAAGAAAGCTTCAGATTGATACGGATGCAACTACTTGAAAAATACAAGGCGAACTTCGACGTTACGAGCGAAGGCTATCCGCTACTAACTTTCTGACAAGGGAAACGCTCGAAACATCGAAGTTCTCCTTGTATTTCTCCTTGTATTTTTCAGATAAGTTGCAGATCCCTACCTATACACTGGCACAGGCAGTTCGAGATTATAATCCAATTCCATCCGACAGTTTTATTTGTAGATAATATACGTACTTTACTTTATTTGTAAATCTGAATAAAGTGATCATGCAATAAAGATAAATATTGCAAAATGCTAGAAAATGTTCTTCTGGAAACTAAACAGAAGTTAATGTGTCATATTTTTGTTTGAGTTTATGTTAATAAACTTGTATTTCAGTTCGTATATTGAAGTAATCGTCCAATATAGGGATAGCTGAGGTGAAACGTGCAACCACGTGATATTTAATGAAGTTGCGACTTGAGACAAAGGATTTGTCAAGTGCACAGTGAGGTATTGTTCAACATCAAACAAAGTAAACAAAGGTCGAAAAGGTCTTCTATTTTGTGGCTATGATTTTTGCCGGGCTTCCAACCATAATATCTTGACAGACACAGACACAGACACAGACACAGACACAGACTATGGCTAAGGTTTGTTATATTGTTTGAACATCACCTACTTTGATGGATTTGTACCGCACTGACACTTTAATAGTACTATCTGGACCGTCTGGACGCATGTCTACAGGTAATATCGGCTTGTGGGAAGGGCACTAGTTCCCAAGGATACTTTCTGTGACACTGTGACACTGCCAAACTTAGAAACTATGGTGGGAACTGGGGCCAAGCTAGTGGTTTATATACAATTTCTACAACACAAATTAATAGTGAATAATACTCAGAATTTACACTATAGTACTCGCAAATCTTTATTAACCGCTAGTTTATGAAACAGAAAGAAACATTTAAAAGTGCTGTTAGCCCCAATCTCGTTCCCCGAGCCTGCGATCCTCGGGAAGGAACCGAAGGCTCTGGGATAATCCGTTTCAGGGAGGAATCTGATTGGCCATTGATATGGAATGCGTAGTTCAATCTTAGCCATGATTCTTGGCTTCCGGTAACGGATTATCCCAGAGGCTTCGATTCCTTCCCGAGGATCGCAGGCTCGGGGAACGAGATTGTGTTAGCCCCGGTCAAACGAGAATGAGAATTAATGAGAGTTGGCAGTCACACATTGTCTCAGGGATATTTCAAGCTCTAGATTAACAAATAAAGGTGTGATTAGTGTTCCAACTATGTTTGATTCAGGTCAGTTACAGTATATTGTAATATTGGGTAATATTGCCGACTGTCTGCTAAAGCGAAAAACAGGACGTTTTGACAAATAATAAACTGGAATAATAAGAATATGGACCAGCATATGCCGCATGTTTTCGATTTTGTGAGAATGAGCCAAAACTAGGAATAAGTCACCTTATTAATTAAAAGAAACCAAAATCAGAGAAATTTGATGGCAACCAAACTTTACTGGCAACCCAGCGGTAAACCATTTCTACAACTAGCTTGTCACACTTTAGGAAACCATGATGTGACAGCCTGACAGGGTTTATTTTATATTTAACGTGCATTTTTACACAAAATGTGTAGTTCTAAACCCATTTGTGCAGTTCTTAAAACACAAATGTGCAGTCATCAAATTGACAAAAATTAGATTGCCTTAAAGGTGCTCTACAGTCCGTCCGTATGTAAACAAAGCCTCTGTTTACATTTTTGTGTCCAAAATATTGAGCTTTATTCGACAACTATTTATATTTTCAAGCTTCTAGAGTATAATAAATGATCAAGAAACAATAATCAGGCTTTTCAAGAACCCAAAACATAGTTAAACTGTTTGTATCATAAAAAGTGGGCTTCTTTGTGCACATGCGCAGATCGGACTGTAGATCACCTTTGACAGTTTTCTCATTTATTCGTTTTTCTTGTGCATGCTCCAAAAAGTGCCAGAAATGCTGTCATTGAGCATAAATCTGGGAGGGGACCCCCGCAGATCGACTCTCCTATTTTCCTCACAAATCAATTACATGGTGGTGCATGTAATGGAACCGAAGTCAAAATTGAGGCGAGAGAAGCTCCCCAAAATAGATTAGAGTGGGGGATTTTTTTGCCGCCTGAAATACAAATTTTAGATTATTATACATTGAATATTCATGATTCCCAGTTATATATGTTTTGAAACAGTTTTTGTTGGTAAGTCTCTGGATTCAAAATTTTTTGAGGAGCACTCCCCTAGCTTCAAAAATTAGCGCCTGAAAAACTTCTACATTTCAGTCATGCAACAAACATATTTAGTGATTTTAGTGTTTTTCTTCATTCATTTACAAGAAAAAGCATTGCTTTAGGAACATATTTAATACTTGTTTACAAAACAAACATAAAACTAAGTAAAAAGTGTTAAATTAAATGGCAAGACTTGTTTGATTTCATCCCGGAATGAAGGGATGGCGTGTTCATATGGGAAATTTTTCATCCCGTCTACCTATGATCTCGACAAATTTAACTGAGATCTCAGCAGGCGGACCAGTTCCTTTTCTCAGTTTCTGCTATGAACACAATGCAAAATTTTATAGGAAAAAGCGGCAAGATCATCGGTAAGTGTGACGTCCCGGTGTCACGCGAAATTTCTGATGGATCATATGAAAGGCCTAGCCTCCTCCGCAGGCATCGCCTTTCGATTATCGGGCAAAATCAAGTTCTGAAGTACGTGAACTACGAGATGCCTGCGGAGGAGGCTATGAAAGGCCCTTATTCATATGTTATTTTTAGTAAGCGGGATAGCTAGCCCGGCAAAGTCGGCTAGCACATAAAGGTAAAAGGTTACAAAGGTATCCGCTGTGTTAGGGATGACGTCACAAGTCAATTTGGTCATTCGATTTATACGGTTTCATTTGTATTAGAGATATGCAAATCCGATCCGAAACCAACCCGAATCCGATCCGATCGAATTTAGTCGGATTTCGGAGCCATACTATTCACTTCTAATCGGATCCGGATTGGAAAACGGTATTTTCGTCGTCGGGTCGGACTTCGATTTAATACCAAGGCTGCTGTGAAAACTAATTAGGCTTATGGCGCGCTTCCGTTTAATAATCAGTTTTCCATTTCGTTTATTTCTAATTGTCTATTGTCTGACCCTATTTGTAAAGCATAAAAGATCTGAGTTATTTAGACGCGAGATTCGGCGAATTGGCTTCTGCAAAGACTAGAATCTAGAAATTTTAAAATTTGACCTCTGCATTGATATACAGTTATACACTTGATTGGAAAGTCTAATTTATTGGCTACTAACTCTTGACGAAGGGCCTTCGCTCGAAACGTCGAGTTTCTGCTTGCTTTTTAACAATTTTAGAGGTAGTAAAATAACCACTCAGCACAGTGGCGGAAATCTTGGTGGGGCGGGGGGAGCGATCGCCCCCCCCCCCTCCCCACCTTCCGGAAAATTGACGAATTTTCGGAAATTTTGATCTAAAAAAGGGCTAAAAACAGTCTTTTCGAGTGCAAAT